TTTAACGCGATTATTTATTATTAAATTAGCTTTGCGAATCGTTCGTTAAATTGTGTTCAGACACGGAATTATTTAAATTAAAATTTAATAAATTAACATTTACAGACTTTGTTAATCTTCACTGTACACCTTGCATAAAAATTACATATGGTNGGCTGCTTTGCATCAGCTGATCGATCTCGCCTTTCATTGGTCACTGTTTTTCGTTAGTAAGTTGTAAACGAATCCGTCGATTGTATTTCTGCTAAGGAAAAAATTATTAATTTCCGGGAAGTACCATAATCTTGGAACAACGCGTCGCATAAAAAATCGGCTTTTTTCAGAGACATACATATTAACCCGAGAAAGTTCATTCATAAATATTATTGATAAGTGATCAGTGTTTAGTGATAATGCAATGAAAGTAAACGTTGAAATTGCCTGCCCGGAGACATTCTTCTTTTCGTCACCGTTGGCTTCAGATCAGCTGTGCAGTTCATCATAAATTGTACGAGATCAATGCACTATCCTCCTGCACCCATTTCCGTGCATGAAGTTGATTCACAACTAAATGAGTGAGTTTCTTATTGATAATATTCTTCATATTTCTCTAGCAAACAAATCACATACGTCCTTTAACGCGATTATTTATTATTAAATTAGCTTTGCGAATCGTTCGTTAAATTGTGTTCAGACACGGAATTATTTAAATTAAAATTTAATAAATTAACATTTACAGACTTTGTTAATCTTCACTGTACACCTTGCATAAAAATTACATATGGTACACGTGAGGTGTCATGCACACCAGAGAATTAAAACGACTGTCATACTTATTATTTCGGGTTCGAAAAATTAGTAAATATTCTTCAGACATTCTAAAATAAGGATGAACAGCGTTTTTCATAAAATTATCACTGTCACGTGGTAAAAAAAATATCGAAAGTTCATGCTCCGAGACTTGTTCATTGATTTGAACGCGGCACAGAGTACCTCTTCAGCTGTCAAAATCAGTGGTAGGAGCACATGGCACTCGATCGATTGACCACGTTGTGTTTCACGCCATTACGTCTCATTGGTCGGTGTTTTTCATTAATAACTCGTAAACAAAGCCGCAGATTGGATTTTCGGAAAAGAAAAAGTTACTTAGAATGATCTCAGCTACCCCACATTTCCGTAGTGCGATACATTTTTGGGACACCCTGTATATATATATGGAATAAGTAATTTTAATTAGATTTTTGTACTTGTCTGCGTTTATAACGGGGGTGTCTCATAAAGCTTCTTTAAGTTTGTTACGATGATCGAGCGTCCTTTATTAAATTTTTTGAGGACAATCATTGAACATTCAACCTTTTTGTTACGGGGTATTAGTATTTAAAATAGATGTATTAATTTAAAGAAAGTGAGATTAAGTGAGATGAAATTAATATAACAATGAATCAACTTACCTTCTACATGAGATAATAATGAGCAAATAATTTCTTTATCTGCTTGCATACTTGAACTGATTTCACAATTTACCATCGCTATTAATACATATAAAACAATTCAATTCGACGTGGGAGCAGATATTATTGCACTTATAATGCAATCATTAAGCAAATTAGTGCTAAAACTAACCATTAGAGCAGGCCTGGACCTCAGCCTGGGCTCAGACCACAAAACTGACTAAATATCCTTCACAGACATTCAAAAATAAGAGTCCACAGCGTTTTTCTTAAGATTGTTAGCAGATTTTTCTGCAATTCGTATACTTGATCTGCTTCTGTCAAAAATTATTAGCATCATTCTTTCACTCCGTTATCTCATCCGAGTAACCTTTTCCAGACACTTCAGTAGGTTTTCCTAAACAGTTTTCTGAATATTCTTTTACGCTTTTCAAGTCAACTGTATGTGTATATAGTTACTTAAAAAATTGAGCGTACACCTTTTAAAACACAATAACTTTTTAAAACTGGATTAAGTTACTTGAATTTTTTTTAGATGATAGAGGGACCAGTCTACTAGACGATGAATAAAATATCTTTTTAAAATATTCCTACTACTTGAGATGACGAAAAAAAATAAAAACTGACGTTTTTTAACTTTTTTTATCTAAGCCTATAACAAGGATTTAAAAAAATGCTTTTCATAGATCTCGGTAATTTATATGCGTGCTGAAAATCTGATTTGATATATACATATACTTTTCCGTCAAATCTCCCAGATTCCTTCCGAACGTGCGCTTAACGAAATTCCTATCGAATCATAGAAGTGTTTGCATCATTCATGCACTAAGAATTCGTTATGAAAATAAGAGCAGTTATTTTGAGCAGTGATAAGAAGCTTCATATTTCTGGGAAACTCTCCCGTCGTGTTGTGACAACATAAAATTGTCCAAGAATTAGCATCCTCTTTTATATCTTTTCTTAGGTGTCAACAACGTTCATTTAATATGTTGGGATATCACTGTTAGGTTAGGATGCTACGTTGACTAATATTAGTTTGGATACCGATATTAATAAATATATACATATTAAACGTAAATAAACTTTATTTGATTAATAGTGACAATAACAAAAGTAAAAAATGAAATATTATAAAGAAATGTAATTTTCCCCCTTTAGTACTCGTCTATTTGATGATTTTGCAATTACCCATGCATTATTTTTACAATACTCGCTGTTCCTTTCGATCCGTCAACGTTCTGCACACATTTACATCGGAAATCACCCCGGCAACTTTTAGAATCACATATATTCTAATACAGTTCTTCCTGCCTAAGTTCTCTAAGAATTTAAAGCTTTAAACGCTTGCTCAACAATAAACGAAAGTTGATTTTATGACATCCACCAATCTGGTGGTCTGCAACGTTGGTCTTAAACATACGTGTATAAACTCTTAGAAATTACGTATTTGGTTGTATATTTATTACTGGCTTTACATATGGCTATTCTACGTTAGTCGAAATCCCCACCAAAAAATGACCCAAAAAAGTCCATAGTGGTCTTGTGATTATCTTCTGATTTCTTAATCCTCGTTTCATTATTTGAGCCTTTCTCCTTTACCATAACCTCCCTGGCTCTATTTAAGCTTTGATAATCCACAGTAGCACTTACTTCTTCTTTTTTGGCAAATCCATCACGTATCAAATGTTCCGTACAGAGTATCAACTCATAACTACCCTTATTGTCCTTACGCGCAGTTCTTCCTTTAATCTGCGTCTCTTCTTTTATATCAAGCGAAAAGAACGTCTGTATAACATGCACTCCACCATTCCTTTCCACAGCAACACTAGACTTAAAATCCACACCACGACCCATACCTCTCGTTGCCAGTGTTAACGTCTTTTTAATACCTGCTTCATCAATGTACTTCTTCTTGCTCCTTTGTTCCGTATTCTCGGTTAATATGTACAAACGATCAAATTTACCAAGGAATCTGTTTTCGAAGTTATCTATTTCTTTGTCTGTATCGAAAAATATTAAAACCGATCGTCCTGAGCCAATTTTAGAATTTGCATGACTAAAAATCTTGCTCAACCAATTTTCCTTTGAATCGTAACATACAAAATCATTGTTTTTATCGAATTTCAAATTAGAGTGACCAAAATAGGATGGCATTATAGAATTTCTATCGATTTTATAAGATTCTCTAATCGCTTTTTTTTCATGATCGTTTAGGGTAGTTAAAGTACCGCTCACTCCTAAGATAAGAGGATATTTCTCAGGTAATTTTGCATAAGCAATTGCACCGGAATCTAATACTAAGTAACCATAATTTCTATAATTTTTATAATCATAATCTCTTTTCTTTAACCTAAAGTAATTAAATACATTGTAATAGCTACTTATAGTGTAAGCACTGTACAAACCATCATTCCGTCTACAGCATATATACCCATCATCATTAATTTTGTAATCAGAAATGTACCAATTTTCATCATTTCCCCTTGCAACATTTCTTGCATTTTCAATCATTTTCTTAAGATGCTCTTCGTAAAGAGATCGATTGGTATAATCTTTTTTAAGAATCTTGCCTTCATGTTCTATCAAGATATAGTATTTGCTAGGCTTATACAGAAATTTTATGAATTCTTTAATATCATCAGCCCTTTCTTCTTTCTTTTTTTGAATAAACTCTTCTACCTCTGTCAAAACAGTACTTATCTCATCATTTTTACTAACTGATTCCCATATTTTTTCCTGGATGCTAACTAATGCTGGAATATTTATCCTACAAGCAGCAGAATAAGTATTCCCATAGAACTGATCAGAAAAAAAAACATCAACTTCGTCTATTAATAAGATAGTATTGCTGATATCGTTTTGCTTCACATGTCCGGATTGCTTCGTACTGTGATTAAGAACACGATCTATAATTAATTCTCTTAAGCTTTGTTTCTTACCATTTATTTCAGGCTGGAGTGTTTCATTAGCCATTTCTTCAAATGTACCATAAGCTACTTTGTCGTAAATATGGAACGTTTCAAAAAAGTCACCAAAATCTTGTCGATCTCGAGTTGCTAGGTATTCACTATAACAAACAGTACGGACTCTATGGCCCATCAATGTCAATAGCGCCGAAAGTAGACCTAACACAAGCGATTTTCCTTGTCCCGTTAAGACCTGCGCGAGATGCTTATCAACGCCATTCGAATCTTTGTCAATACTTAATAACCTCAAAATGCACAATATTTGAATACAATGTGGCTTTAAGCTTTTTCCTGTAGCTGCAATATCTTTCGATGCCTGCACAGACCACACAGCAGCTAGCCCCGCAAGAAGATCCGGTAGAGTTTCGTTTTTGAACTTTTTCTCCCATTTACTAATATTAGTTTTTATAAACTGACCGTTGAGATCTTGAGTAATCAATTTAATCTTATCTTGATCATTTTCGTTGGAAGTATTTTTTATATAAGAATCAAATTTGTTCAAATATCTTTTATAGCAATCTCTTAGTATTGTTTCTGTTGTTAGTGTACTATTACCGTTTGATTGTTTATATAGATCTAAAGCTTTTTCTATATCGATCTCATCTTGTTTTCTTAAGTACCAAAAAGATTCCCCTATGATATCAACGCGCTTTTCAAAATCCGCGTAAGAACTACTATTCTCTATTACAGAAGAAAATGGCACTATACTCTCATCTTTGAATGTATCAAAAGATACGTAAGTAGGTTGATCCTTCAGATAACAAAAAGACTTCTTTATTGCAGAAATTAATACACTTGCTGCATTTAAATTATCATGATTAGACCATTTCCTTTGATCAAGTAAATCAATTACACTATTTAATAGATCTTGAATTATTTCAATTACGTAATGACGAGGGATATTCGAATGGTTTTTGATAAATTGTTCAGGATCTAAAATCTTATATGATTTTTTTTTTTCGTTAATTAACGTGACTTCATCCTGGGTTACGTTACTAATGTCATTAACAAACCAACTATATTCTACAGCACTTAAATCTTCTACAAACTCATTGAATGATCTAAAATATTTAATTAATCCTTGTGGTTCTGCTGCTATGACAAGTGCAGTATTTACGATATTGTGTAATTTCTGACGTATACTTTCCATGTCTTTTTTGAATTCTCCGTAAGGGAATTTATCAGGAATTTTTTCTATAATTGTCTCTCTATTCTTCCAATATTCATTATATGCATCTATTAAATCTCTAAAATCGTTAAATTGTTTATCTGAGATTGTCTTGTTAATAAATTCTATTTGTTTTGTTAAAGTATGTCGATCAATTTCTGAAATATTCTTTGAGAAATAGGGACACGTTTGTGCGATAAACCTTACAGTACTGTGCATTACTATCCTAAATGACTCGTACTGATCATGTTCTGTTTTTACAATGAAATCTGTGTAACCCTTTAAAAGCGGTTCAAATAATTTTAATTCTTCTTTAGAAACTATCTTGTCAATAGTATTCTCAAAAATACGAATCCATACTAAGCGCTCCTGAGGTGTAGCTGATGACTCTTTACTGCTGAAAATACTACTAAACAAGTCCTTCGTTCGTTGCCAAGCCGTCTTATCGAATTTCTTCCTGTCAGAATAACAACCAGGTCTAAAATGCTCCATCATCTTAAAAATGAAGCGATATTGTTGTTCAAGAGATTGAGTTAGATGGGAAGTTGTTGACCAATTGATAATTTCTGGCAAACTCCATTCTGTATTTTTATTTTTTAGCAAATCGTTGGCAGACAAATCTGTTTTTCTACCAATTTCCTCAACCAGCTCTCGAAAGCTCTTGCAGAGATAAAAATAAATTGGATGGGTTAAAGGCGCAAAATCTCTCAGTGAAGATACTTGTGCATGTTCCCTTATCTTTTTTATCTTTTGAAAGTATACATCCCACAAATTGTTTAAAAAATCTATATAAGGTTCCTCACTCATCATGTCAGCAAGATCTGCAAAAAGCCCCATATCTTTTTTGGTAATATAAGGTATCAACTTATCATCCAAAACATTTATATGATTCTCCAAGATAAATGGTGCTATTCCAGAAATAGCATTTCTATGATTATTTACTCCACCTTTACAGATTCGTCGCAATTCTTCTAATAAATTTTTTTTATCGAATTGACCTACTTGAGGAAAATTTTGCCTCCTCCTATCCGTAATTCTTTCTGTATGACGCAATTGTTTACTACGATTTATCATTTCAGAAGAAATTTTGTCATTTCCAATTATATTTTCTAATATCGACGCATTATTATAGGAAAGTCCGTACTTTTCTAATATTAAAGAAACCTGAAAAATATCTTCTGCCCAATCAAGATTGTCTGCAGTTTTACTACTCCTATCTTGCAACAGTTCTATAAAGTGATTATAAATAGCACCGCTGTCATCTGATAATTTGTCTCGAATCAATTCGGTGATTATAAGCTTTCTAAGAAAATCTCGCTTGATGTCTACAGGATGTCCGCTAAAATCCAATCTTTCGAGCTTGTCGAAGCACACTCTTGCAATAAAATCGTCCTCATCGAAAGTAAATAAGTAACCTGGGCTTTGCTTCCTGATATAAACTTTTCTATTTTCATATGGATGAGTAAATTCACATGAATCTAGTTTTATCAATCGATTGCCCTGCCACATTCCATCCACATAGCCATCTGTATCAAATGATCTTTTTGTACCCCTGTTTTCATCAAAACTGCTTTGATTATTCCCAGATAACTTGACTCCAGATTGTCTACCTATCCAAGCTCGCTGCTTAAAATATGACACAGTCGGAATAGATTCCAGATCAGAATCATTTTCACAACATATAGAAGATCTATCGGTCTTCGAGGTGCTCGGATTTGGATTGTTATGACAGAAGGATTCTCCACCAGAGTGATCAGTTGCAGAAGACAATGGTTCCTGACTTCCTTGTTGTACTGTTGAACCCGAAGATTGTATTTTTCGACTACGAGTTTCACGAGAAAGACCTGGCTGAAGTCTCTGCTTATGGCCCGACTTAGTCTGAACGTTATCGGAATTAATTTCCTCTTTATTTTGGATCATCACGAAATCATCTCCAACATTCTCAAATGAACGATGCATTGTACGACAAACGTCCTTATTATCTTCACCCTTATCTCCTGTAGTAGTGTACAGTTTTAACTTAATCTTCACCAATACCATCATCTCCTAACTCTAATGTCATTTTAATACCTACCAGAAGACATTTTCTCATCTGAAACATCGTTTCCGTTTGGTTCCTTGCCATTGCCAAGATCAGGATAAACAATATTATTCCGTGAGTCAGAACAGCCTCTTTCATTTTCATTCTTCAGAATTTCATCTTTCTGTACGCCAGCAGAATTTGACCCCCTCTGTGAAACAGAATCAAGAAGTCTTAGAGTGGGAAATATTTTCCGCATTATGTATTAATAAATTCGCAATACCAAATGTATAGAATTTGAAGAATTCTTAGTAACTACAAATTCAACAAATTCATCGTAAAAATAATATGAAAAAATTCCAATGTTCCTCCAGTTTCCTCTAATTCTGGAGTTCCAAAATTGCTTACGTTAGGTGCGATCCTTAAAGTATTTAATTTAGATATTACGGGAAACGAGGATTTTCTAAATTAACAAACCGTAAGTATTCTAAATGTAAAGTTCTTTACATTTCTTTAATTAAGTCTGTGTTGATCCACCTTCCATTTAACCCTTTTCACTCGAAGCCATTCTAACTGTAAATCTAAAATAATTTTCCTTACTTTCAGTATTATTTCCATTTTATATAACAAAGTGCATTTTATGAATATGAAATTGCATCTTGAGCAATTATTATAGCAAAATATTAATAATAATATTATAGCAAAAATTATGTTGGAATGTGGTATAATAATTTCAGTGGTATCTCAGAGACACCACTCGAACGCAAATTCCTTTTTACTGAATTTCTACAATTCTTTTGCGAACTGAATAGGATAGCAAGGCTTCGATGAAGAGAATATGGTAGACAAAACTAGTAATATTTATTGCTTACGTACAATACGATGAAGCCACGATAGATTTTTTAATTGGAAACGAAGAAGCACTACATTCAGCATTCTTAATGGATAATGTCTGTTATTTGTCCTTAACAAGATTGGTTCGATATACCGTCGGAGATTCCAGAATACGACACCGGAGTACAGTAAATTCTCTTTAATTGACGCTCAGATTGGGGAAAAGGAGAGATACCATTATTCAAACTCTGCGGTTCGATTTTATAGTTATCAATTGTCAACAACTATAAAAATGAGCCGCAAGACTCGAATGGATCATATCTTCTCTTCCTAAATTGTCTACTCTTGTGCATAATCTCAGCACAAAAATATCCTTCGATGGGTCCGATGCAGTTCGCGGACATGCGTTTCAGAGGTCTTTGTATCACACACAACAATTGAATATCACATAAAATGTCATGGACTTGTTAAGAAGCTCGATGTTTGGATTCCGCATGAATTGAAAGAAATTCACTTAACACAACGAATCAGTATTTGCGATACGCATTTTGAACGTAATGCAATCGACCCTTTTTTGTAACTATTTATCGCCGGTGATGAAAAAGACTGTACAAATGATCATACTGTCAATTTGATGGGATTATAAAGGTGTTGTGTATTTTGAATTGCTTCTGAACATCCAAACGATCAAATCAGATATTTACTGCCAACAACTTATGAAATTGGAGGAAGCAATCAAAGTGAAAAGAGCAGAATTGGCAAATGGCAAAGGAATCGTGTTCCACCACAATAATGCGAGGCCTCATACTTATTTAGCAACACGTACAAAATTATTGGAGCTTGGTTGGTAAGTGATATTGCATCCTCCATATAGCCCCGACCTTGCACCATCGAATTTTCATTTATTTCGAAGCGTACAAAACTTTTAAAATGGTAAAAATTTCAATATATATATATAATGCCGATAGCCTCAAATCGTACTTGATTGAGTTTTTTACTGATAAGGACCAGAAGTTTTGTGAGCGCGGAATCATGAAGTTACTAGAAAGATGGCAAAAGGTCATCGAACAGAATAGAAAATATTTGACTGATTAAAGTTCATTTCTTGTACAAAAAAAATTGAATTTTATTTCATATTGAAATATTAAAATTACTTTCTTGTCAATCCAATACAATGTCCAAGGATTCCAGGCATCCTAGTTACTTCTACAGAAGAGGCTCCTAGCGTATTGCTGGCAGGACTAACTAACTCTTCTTAGAAGTCGAGACATTTTCCAAGAGCGAAATCAGTTCGCTTGCTTGCCTCTTTCCAAAATACAGGTCACAGTCCGAGACCGCCAGTAGCGTTGAGGCCGCGGAGTTTGTGCTGCTTTTTACGAAAATTGCCTACACGTTCGAATTTATGTCTCCGAAACTATTAGAGATACGATGTAGCGATCATTTTCTGGCAGACTTGAAGGCTGTCATGTCTGAAAAATTTTGTTTCGAGAAATAAAAATATTTTTGTTTTGCTAATTTTATCCGCGGTCATGTTTTTGAAGATCTGGAAAAAATATGTTCGTCTTCTGTGAGCTTTTCCCTTTTCATTACAATTTTTTAATTTGCAGACACACTGAAACTGTAATTAGGGTGGGGCGGAGAAGATTACGGCGCAACCCAATTCAGGTGAATGGGCCTCGCGCTCCGCTATGACGGTCGGCAAACTGTTCCGCTATCACATTCCCTATCGAGTTGTAAAACAAACTCGACAGGTTTCAAACGTAGCTGAGTAATGTGATTTATACTTTTAAAAGAATTTTAGTGATTCTTTCTTTCCCAATGACACTTTTTTAATAATAATCACACTTGTGAGTACCGGTTAACGATACTTTCAATAACTTTATCAGCGTTCCAATGATAACATGTACAGTCGGTGTACAAAGCATTCGTACACCTTCTAAAACGGAATAACTTTGTTATAATTGGATCAAGCGGTCAAATTTTTTTGGGCATATTAGAGGAATTGCAATTGGTTGGCACGTTAAAAGAATTAACAAATTATGTTTGTTCAACTTTTTTTATCCAAGCTTATAACGAAAACTTAAAAAATGCATTTTGTAGATCTCAGTAACTTACATGCATGCTGACAATTTCATTAAAATCGATTGACTATCCATTTCACTTGGGCCCGTTATAAAAAAGTTATTCAGTTTTAAAAGTTATATTTTAAAAGACCGTGCACCGCGACTGTACGTTGTCTTAAACAATACAGCTATAGTTTTCTAAAAGATGTGGTAAAATTGCGAATTCATTATCACTTATGGATTGTTTACTAGAATATAAAAATGTACTTTGCATCTAAACAATATAATCGTTCGTGACAGAGCAATAAATTCGTTACACAATTTATCTAAAAATTCGTTCGCCAATGTGGTTATTGAAAGTAAGACGAACTGATATACAAGTATGATTAATATAAAAATATGTCATTGGCCAAGAGTGGATTATTAAAATTCTGTTAAGAGCATATAAATGACTATTCAGCTATGTTTGAAATTTGTGGAGTTTGTTTTAAAACTTCATTCAAATAATATGAAGTGATAGCGGCACAGTTACACGACCGTCATAATTACGAGCAGCGCGATCCGTTTTCCTGAATCGGGACGCCCTGCGATCTCCGTCGTCCTACTCTAATTACACTTCGAAGTGTCCACGAATTAAAAAACTGGAATAAGAAGAGGAGAGCTTACAGAAGACGAACATATTTTTTTCAAATTTTTAAAAACATGGCTGCGGATAATATTTGTAAAACAAAAATATTTTTATTTTTTGTAAAAAAATAAAATAGTTTTATTTGTCATAACAAAAATCACAGATTCGTCTACTAGACAATGATGAAAATAGTTTCTTTTTTTAATTTTGCTTGGAATGACAAGACAGATAAACTACTCTCGCTTTTTAATTTTTTATCTCAGCCTATAATGTAGATTTAAAAAATAGGTTTCGTATATTTATATCCGTATTGAAAATATTATCGAAACTAGTACATATCGTTGTAGCAGATATTGTAATTACTATATATTCCTATAAAAAATATCTTTTGACACGGTCGTGATGCGCTTTTTGTTCTTAATTTTTGTACACATTGAATGCAAAAAGATTTTTGGAATTTCTATTTCATATATTCCATAAAACGTTACATGTAACAAATATAAATATAAAATACATATGTAGAAAGCAAAAAATAGTTGCTACAATTATATTTAATCAATTTCCCTTTTCATAAAATTAATTCAATTAAAACTAATTATAAACTATAGTTAAAAATAGTTAAAATTGGTTAGAATTAACTACAGTTAACTATAGTTATAGTGAAAATTTCACTACAATATCCTTAATGGTTCAAAAGTTATAACATGTCACTGAATTCCTCAATCCGGCCACTGTGCGTTGCAACGCGTTGCGATGCGAGACACAGTGATTCCATTTGATGAATTAGCTATTCACGACGATATTTTAAGACGTAAAGACAGTATTATATAGGTCGTTGAATTCGTCTTGACATTAGCTGTGACATTATTAAGTACAAAAGATATAGTAACAACTAAAAAGGTGACAAAGGTGACATTAATATTTTATTTTAAAAAAAATTTGTTCGTAATTTTTTATATTGATGTTAATAGAAGACTGAGTACTAATTAATTTTGTCGGAAACATGGTTTTGTCAAAGCACCGGAAATGACTGAAAATTATGATAACGTGTGAATAATAAATGATGTTCGTAAATTTTGATTCGTACACCTTTTGAAATGCAATAACTTTTTTAACTGGACTAAAAGACTTGAATATTTTTCAGATGATAGCGGGACTAGTCTACCAGACGATGACAAAAATGCTTTTTCTAAATTTTGCTATTACTTGGAATGACAAAAAACATAAAAAACTCTCGTTTTTTTAACTTTTTTATCTGAGCCTATAAATAAAATTTTTAAAAATTCCTCTCGTAAATCTCGGTAACTTATATGCATGCTGAAAATTTTGTCGAAATCAGTTGACTTTGTTATGAGTTATAACAAATTAAAGATGGCAATAATCGCAGTTTTATCACGATTTTGACCAAAAACTGGAAGAAATCTGCAGTGTCTTAAATCTTTCAACACTTGTAGCTCGACTCTGGGTTAACCGATTTCGATAAAATTTTCAGCACGCATATAAGTTACCGAGATCAACGAGAGACATTTTTTAAATATTTTGTTATAAATTCTTTTGTCATTTCAAGTAATAGCAAAATTTAAAAAAAATTTGGTCACCGTCTCGTAGACGCTATCATTTGAAAATAATTCAAGTTCCTTAGTCCAGCTTTAAAAAAGTTATTGCGTTCTAAAAGGTGTACGAACACTTTTGCGGCCCACTGTATTATTGAAGCGAGAGTGCTCGAGATTTTTCGTGACTACTCGTGACAGCTCGAAACTGTACGAAACGGCACGAGAGTGCTTGAGACTGCTAGAGTCTGCACGAGGCAGCTGGAGACTCCTCGAGACGGCACGAAACGGTTCTAGACTGCTCAAGATGCTCGAGATTGCTCGATACTTCTCTAGACCTCTTAAGACTGTTTGAAACTGCTTGAGACTGCACGAGATTGCTCATGACTGCTGATCGCACCGGATTGCACTTTCCTAACCCAGGTGCTTCTGGTGGAAGCTCTGCCGTCGTCACTATCCCAGGTGTTTCTAGGGTACGTCGCCGGAGAGAACGGTGCGGAGGAGACGCATGGAGAGAGCGCGCAGAAACAGTATGTCCTTTTCAAAATGAAACAACCTCCAGGCGAGTAATAACCTACACCGTCTTCCTTTCTTAAACTAGCGACGGCATTTGAAACTCGTCTGATTCTATTACAGATCCAGGAAACAACGTAGGAGTGGCTCGTGTCATTAGGATTAAGATAGATTAAGACTGTCACCCTCATTTTATTTTTATTCTGAGCCAAAAAGCATAAGTTTGGTTTTCTATTTTTGTACGTGCGTTATTGTTTAATAAAGTATAGTATTTGTTATCTGGGTAACCTCGCCTCGGGGCGGGGCTTAATAATAATAATAATAAATAAATATATAATAATAAATAAATAATAATAATAATAAAACTCGCATTAATATTCGGACACGATATTGTTAGAAGAATTATTGCTCCATTTTACTGTTTATGATAGTATTATTGAATCAATTGTTTCCTCATAGTATAAAGCACTTCTTAAAGTAAGTAGAAACATAAATTTTGTTTATTTATTGAACATGTTCTTTTGTATAATAAGCGATAAACAAGATTGTGACAAAATTCAACGTCGCAAGAATATTCGAACAGTGAATGAATTACATTAATTTTATATAAAATGAAAAATTTTTTAATCATGTTATCATAATATTAATATTTTGTCGGTTGACCCTTTTGTTTTATTACTTCATGTAATCGCTTGAGCATGTTACAGATGATTTTATTTAAATACTCCGGCGAAATCCGTTTCCATTCATCTAACAAACGTTGTTTTATCTCNCGAGACGGCACGAAACGGTTCTAGACTGCTCAAGATGCTCGAGATTGCTCGATACTTCTCTAGACCTCTTAAGACTGTTTGAAACTGCTTGAGACTGCACGAGATTGCTCATGACTGCTGATCGCACCGGATTGCACTTTCCTAACCCAGGTGCTTCTGGTGGAAGCTCTGCCGTCGTCACTATCCCAGGTGTTTCTAGGGTACGTCGCCGGAGAGAACGGTGCGGAGGAGACGCATGGAGAGAGCGCGCAGAAACAGTATGTCCTTTTCAAAATGAAACAACCTCCAGGCGAGTAATAACCTACACCGTCTTCCTTTCTTAAACTAGCGACGGCATTTGAAACTCGTCTGATTCTATTACAGATCCAGGAAACAACGCAGGAGTGGCTCGTGTCATTAGGATTAAGATAGATTAAGACTGTCACCCTCATTTTATTTTTATTCTGAGCCAAAAAGCATAAGTTTGGTTTTCTATTTTTGTACGTGCGTTATTGTTTAATAAAGTATAGTATTTGTTATCTGGGTAACCTCGCCTCGGGGCGGGGCTTAATAATAATAATAATAAATAAATATATAATAATAAATAAATAATAATAATAATAAAACTCGCATTAATATTCGGACACGATATTGTTAGAAGAATTATTGCTCCATTTTACTGTTTATGATAGTATTATTGAATCAATTGTTTCCTCATAGTATAAAGCACTTCTTAAAGTAAGTAGAAACATAAATTTTGTTTATTTATTGAACATGTTCTTTTGTATAATAAGCGATAAACAAGATTGTGACAAAATTCAACGTCGCAAGAATATTCGAACAGTGAATGAATTACATTAATTTTATATAAAATGAAAAATTTTTTAATCATGTTATCATAATATTAATATTTTGTCGGTTGACCCTTTTGTTTTATTACTTCATGTAATCGCTTGAGCATGTTACAGATGATTTTATTTAAATACTCCGGCGAAATCCGTTTCCATTCATCTAACAAACGTTGTTTTATCTCTGTTGTTGTCTTTATAGGCGTTCTACGAATTTTGCGGACCAATTGATCGCATAAATTTTCAATTGGATTTAAATCAGGCGATTGAGGAGGAGGATACAGTACTTTTGGACAATTGTATAATAAATATTCCTGTACAATTCTGGCCTTGTGTTTAGGATCATTGTCCTGATAAAACCTAAAACTGTATGTATACCCATAATTATAACACCTGTAATTAAATTTAAAAAAAAAATGTCCAAATACTTCATTTTGTCCATGATACCATCGATAAAATCTAGTTCACCTACACCTATAAACGAGACGCCACCATAACTATAACCCCACACTATTTATTACATTCCTACCATCGTGTTTCACTGTCGGTCTCAAATTTGATATGTTTAATTCTGTATTTACTTTACGTCACACCATTTTTTGACTATCGGATCCGTAAAGATTAAATTTGCTTTCATCCGAAAATATTACATCATTCCTCCACTAGTTGCCTTTGTAAAAATATTCTTTTGCAAATTTAAGATCGACAGTGAAACACGGTGGTAGGAGTGTAATAATGTGGGGTTATAGTTATAGTGGGGTCTCGTTTGTAGGTGTAGGTGACCTAGTTTTTATCGATGGTATCATGGACAAAATGAAGTATTTGGACATTTTTTTTTTAAATTTAATTGCAGGTGTTATAATTATGGGTATACGTACAGTTTTAAGTTTATTTTACAATTGTCCAAAAGTAATGCATCCTCTTCCTCTCAATCATCTGATTTAAATCCAATTAAAAATTTATGGGATCAATTGGACCGCAAAATTCGTACAATACCTACAAAGACAACAACAGAGATAAAACAACGTTTGTTAGACGAATGGAAACGGATTTCGCCGGAGTATTTAAATAAAATCATCTGTAACATGCCCAAGCGATTACATGAAGTAATAAAACAAAAGGGTTAACCGACAAAATATTAATAATATGATAACATGATTAAAAAGTTTTTTATTTTATATAATATTAATGTAATTCATTCACTGTCCGAATATTTTTGCGACGTTAAATTTTGTCACAATCTTGTTTATCGCTTATTATACAAAAGAACATGTGCAATAAATAAACAAAATTTATGTTTCTACTTACTTTAAGAAGTGCTTTATTCTATGAGAAAATAATTGATTCAATAATACTATCATAAACAATAAAAAGGAGCAATAATTCTTCTAACAATATCGTATCCGAATATTAATACGAGTCACTGTATTTCGACTATCCCACCGATCCAAACTCTGGCGTTAGAAATTGTTACTACATATTTTTACTTAATAATCTTATAGCTGACGTCAAGACGAATTCAGCGACCTATATAAAACTGACTTTACATGTTAAAACATTGCTAAAATCGTCGTGTACAGCTAATGCTGTATCGATTGCGACGGTGTAATTTCTTAAAACGGCCATAACTTTGTCAATACTCGTTCAAATTGAAGGAACCAAAGACTAATTTAAAATTAATGTTTCCCACTTTTTAAGCCTTTAAATTATTTTTATCATAATCGGCATAAAACGTAAAGCCGGACTACAAAGAGGTATGTTAATTTGAAAGAATTTCTTGATATTAATTAAATACTGCCAGCTGCAAATATTTAATTTTACAACCAAATTGGACATTGATTAAAAGTAAGTTCGCATGTAAGTACGGATATTTAATGGAAATAAATATTGCCTAAATAAAATAAAAAGTGTAGTATGCTAAAAAGAGCCTTTAATATACATATGTATAACGATTGAAGTGAATAACAGCTATGAAAAAATAAATGAATGATTGAATAAATGTATAAATAATTATATAATGAACTTAAAACTTACTAAAATTAATAATACTACAATCACTTTAAATTTGATTTCATTAAAAAATACTTATGGAACTCCAATTCATTTTTAGTACGATTTATTGGGATTATGGCTTGGATTATGATATTAATTCTTATATATGAATATCATATTAATTCTTTTTCCTAAAAGTTTTATATTCTTACTTTTATTTGAGAGAAGGTATATGTACGAAATGACTGAGCGACCAAATTCAACTAAGAGACCGCTGACTAAAAATCGCCTGCTGAAAATATGCCCTTTTTGGTGTGGTCTTCTCCATCAATCAAAGACGGTCATTCATCGCGTTTTACATTATATACGCGATACTGAGATCACTAACGATTAGAGCACTATTCACAGTTTATATCATCGTCAGTGCGCGCTGATGGAACCGGCGCAAATGTAATGTGATATTTTCGAATCTCAGTCCTAAGTAAACTATAGATTAATTTTTGTCCGAAAGAAAGATTCAGACCGTGTGTTAAAAAGGTTTGAAGTCTGACACACTGAAGATTTTCTTCATGAAGATTTTAGTAATAATAAAATTATGAATCCGCAAACGTAAGATTTTTATAGTGACGGAGAGAATACTGTATCTTGACTTCACTCTCTACCTTATTGTTAGTTAAGAATTCACCGGGACGCTCTTTTGGTTCTTCCTTCTTTTTAGAATTGTTCACGGGTTCAGAATTAGCTTTCTTCTTTTCCTTTTTCATTTTCTTGTGTTTCATCGTGCGAATGTTTCAAACAATTCCACTGCTCCTATTTTTCATGGAACGAAAAATCACTTATTCTCTGTAACAATTGAACGTAATACGACATGACTCACGCGTATCGCTATATCCACAGCTGGGAGAACTGGTGCTCACCTCGCACAGCGCAAACGCGTAGATCCGGGAAGACTGACCAACGCGCAAGAAGAATACGAGCTCCGCTTCCTGCGATATCAGTTCTTGGTACGCATGTGCTAGACTTGCAAAAATAAACATATCTTGAGATTACAAAGTTTTGAGTTTCTCATACACCAACGAATGTATTCGAACGCCTTTTAAAACGCAAAGACACGCTTACATGCCAGGCTCGATTCGTGCTCCAAAACCGATCAAGGCCGAAACATTCTTCCATTTGATTTACATAAGTGTTCACACTACCCGCGCCGCCCTCGTGCCGTGCCATGCACCGTTCAAATGTATTCACACTTGCAGGCAGGCCCGGACCAGACTCTGGCTTCGCCAGTGTCACACTGTACCAAAACAAAAGCGAGACGAAACCACGGAAATGGTACGACGTGGACATAGTGCGCAATCTGTCACAATGCAAAGAATGTGCAATATAAGATTTTTTATATTATTTATTACTTCATGATCATTTAAAAAATACATTTTAAATGGTACAATGAAATATAAATTTTAATGTAAGATTCATTTACACAAAGCTGAAATGGAAAAATAGTAGCGGCCATTGACACGTACAATAATCCCTTTGGCGTGCATGTAGTTGGGCCAGCATATGATGCGTAATGCAACAGCAGCACCGAAAATCGAGTACATAGTACCGAACAAAATTGAGTGGACACTCTTCAAAATTCAGTATTTTTCTTAAAATACTGAACATACTATATTGCATATTTTTCTTAAGAACGACTACAATATTTTTTAAATGATAGTGGGCCCAAAATATGTACTAGACAATGACAATAATGCTTCCTTTTTTTTTAATTTTGCTATTACTTGAAATGACAAAGAAAGAATAAAATACTTATGTTATTTATATAATAATCACACTTATGTGTACCAGTTCGTGTTACTTTCAATAATTTTATTAACGTAACAAATTTATTGCTCTGCAAATACACGATTTTATTGCTAAAATGTAACTATTGTTCAAGGTGACGTATATAGTTATTATTGATCAATATTAATTGTTTATTACTCCCTTCGTATCGAAATGATTATCCTATTTGCATAAATTATTTGTATCGAAATGATTGTCCCATTTCAAAGAATAATGTTTTACATTTGCTCTGTCATTAATTTCAAGACGTAAGCATAATTTACTAAGTATGATACAGCTATACGAGTATAATAAGTACCTATTTTACTTTTATTTTATGTAATTCAATAGCGCAAGTTATTTTGTTGCAAATTTATAAATCAGACAATCACCTCAATACGGAAGAAGTATAAACTACAAAAATAAAAATTTCACCCCTAGGATGAAATAATATAATAAATAATATAATCTTACAAAAATAATATCGTGTTTGGTCTTGTTTTAATCAGAAAAAGCTCACAATTGCATTAGCAAAAGTCCCATTATGACAAAATAAGACATAAAAAAGTTAGACATTGCGTTATTATCTATCCTTCATTTGCTGTCCTTTTCTACGCTCGGAAAAGTACAAAGCAAACGCCGAATCTCGGTCTAAGACGCATCAGTCCCGAGGTCATCAGTCCTTTCTGACACGATACTCGCACGGTTAATGTGTTGCAAGAACGACCCGAACTTGACACGTAAAGTGTGTCACGACCCTAATTCTTTTATCTGAGGCTGTAACAGAAATTTAAAAAATGCCTTTCGTAGACACACGCATTTACATGCATGCTGAAAATTTAATCGAAATCAGCTAATTCAGTGTCAAGTTACAGGCGTTGAAACACTTCGAAAACTGCAGATTTCTTACAGTTGTAGCGACCATTGGCACACGGTACAATGGACCATGACCGTACATATACCCAGCGAAAGGTTTATGACATTAGTAAAGCTATTTTTAGGAAACCGTCCCAACACGTATTAACGAGAAAGCATGTTTCCTATTTTTTAGAATTTTTCGTTCTCGATCTCAATAGCTAATGCTGGCATCATAAACCCCGGGATTTCCGAAGGGTCCGCGGACTAAGGCACAACGGCCCACAGCTGGCCCGCAGTCGATCCGTGACCGACCGCATCACAGGTCGAGCAGACCCGGAGGAAATTCCATTACAGTGTTGACAAAATTGCAGTCACACAAAAGGCATAAAAAAAGAGTTACCCGATTGGTCAGCACGCCACTCAGCTCCGACCAATTAGGGAAATTTCCTAATGGACACCCCAATATATAAGCGAAGAAAAAATAACATGTAAGATACTCTCACGCTTACCCTAACTCTTACTCTTACTCTTGCTGGCGACTTAGACGAGTAAAGACTCTGTATAGCAAAAATGAAGCACANAAAAAAAGAGTTACCCGATTGGTCAGCACGCCACTCAGCTCCGACCAATTAGGGAAATTTCCTAATGGACACCCCAATATATAAGCGAAGAAAAAATAACATGTAAGATACTCTCACGCTTACCCTAACTCTTACTCTTACTCTTGCTGGCGACTTAGACGAGTAAAGACTCTGTATAGCAAAAATGAAGCACACGTGCACTGCTCAAGATTTCAGACTCATTTCACGAGCACATCAGACAAGAAACCCCCAACACAGTTTTTTGTAAAAAAAAGTGTCGAAAATCGTGTCAGAATTGCAATTTTTGCGATATCTAATTTGTTGCAAATCATTACAACGTCAACCGATTTTGATCAAATTCAAAGCATTTTAGTCATTATGTAGTAAACCAGTCCCTCTATCATCTAAAAAGAATTGAGGTGATTTAGTCCAGTTTGAAAAAAATTATTGCGTTTAAAAAGTCGTTCGAACACTCGTTGGCTACTGTACAGTTGGTATGGAAAATATTGAAAGTAAAACTATCTATATCCATACCAGCAATAAATTTTATGAGGAAACAATGATTAGTAAATATTCTTGCATGTTTGTAGTATACATTTTTTGTTAAAAAAATATTTCCCTTCAGCATTACAAAAATATCAACAAAAACAGACACATGAGTAGAAACAGGAACATGGAAAATATGTATTCGTACATCTTCTATTTTGTGTATTTAATAGAGATATAAATACAATATGACCTTCCGAATATAACGAGTAATAATAAAGCTGGTCAGTTTTTGCACACAGCACTTGTAGATTAAAGATAATTTAACGATAATTTGTACTGGTCTCAGCATCTCGTAAAAGTTCCGAAACAACGGAAGAAGTGCGTAATATTATATATAACATATATAACATTTTTTTATTGAAGGTTCCGTTTTTTTAGAAAAATTAGGTTGAAAAGGTAATACTACTGAATAGGAATCAACTGGCGCGTCTGGTCATGACAATTCTACAACAATTCTACTTCTCGTCATATTACAAGTCACACGAATTTGACGCATTTTTCAATTCAGTTTTCTCGAAAAGGGAGTCTTAAATAAACACCCTATATATGTTTGCTACAGAGCTTAAAAACAATAATATATACATATATATTATATAAAATAATATATTATATTAAATATATATGTATGTATATATATCTCGGCTAGTACTGTGCGTGATTACTTAACGAAGTAGTGAATATGTGTCACGGTAGAGCTGCACAGAAAAAATATTTTGTAAATGAACACTTGGATTGGATGAACACTCCCATGCAATATTAGCAAAAAATAATTTTCACAGAATAAAGCAAATCCGAAACATTTGGACCAAAAATCACTTTATAATATGGGTTCAAAAAGGTACTCAAGAAAAAAAATTTGCGACCCACGACGTATCACAGCGGAGGCTCTGTATTAGTCTTGGGTTGCATAAAAATCTTTTAAATTGGAAAACTTTTAAATTATTAATACTTCACTGGTTCAAGCTATGTGTAATCAACCATAGAACTTGTAGACACCTATATACATTATACTAGCACCGTTAGGCAATTCGAAAATAATATTTCTGATGTAAAAATTGCAAATTCATAAAATAGATTTTTTTATGCCTAGGCACCACTGCACTGGCCGATGGGGTGTGGCAAATCGTGTGATAGCTTAGGGTTTAGGCTTAGGGAACGATATCGTTATTGCAAACACTATCCTGGGAGAAAAATAGTTAGACGCGGCGTTTATTTATCTTCCATGAATGATTGTAGCTTTCTGTGAAAAAGTGATTTCTTACCAACTCTAATCGTACTACCTGTTAGGAAAGGCACTCCCTAAGTAATGCAGAAATGGACTCCAAGCTACATTTTTTTTATATATACTTTTATTAGACCAATGTTATTGGCTTGTCTCTTTTTTTAAGGCTTCTAAACTTAGCTGCTTTGAGGATTCTTCATACTGTCCACTTGCTTATTTGTATATTCGTATCTTCTTTTAATAATTTTGCAACCATAGTGGCACTTGAAGCTTCACCAGATGTAACAAACCGTATAATTCTTCGTTCATTCTGCAGTGATAATTTTTTGGTCTTCCTCCAACATTTAATAATGGACATTTACAGTATTTTTTTCTTATTCTCTGCACTGTCGACTGACTAATACTACACTTTCTCGCCGTCTGGCGCATTTACACGCCGTCATTCAAAAGAGAAATTACTTTTTTTAAGCAATGTGGTGCAATTGACTTCATACTTATACTTACTTCACCATTCTTACTTTACCGATCGACTGATTGTGAGAAACTGAGTGCTAAGACGTGTAATAACATTTTGTAAACATACGAAACTGCTAGATATAAACCCACTGCTAGAACATATTTCACGTGAACATTCCTTTTATGAACTGGTGCAAAACCGTGTCAATCTATTTTTATTGTCATTGCTGAACGAGGAGATATTAATTATTGAAAAAATTTCTTGTGTTACTTCTGTCAATTATAAAAATGACTATAATGTTTATTTTTTTAAATTCTTCTATCTTCTTAACAATAAATAATGATTTATACAAAACTTGTAGTTATTGGTTCAGTTATGGTTGGTGCAGGCTCAGCATGATTTTTTAAATAAAATCAATATACAGGGTGTTCCATAATTATTTTAACAGCCGAAAATGAGGGGTAGCTGAGGTCATTTGAAGTAACTTTTTCCCTTGCGAAAATGTAATCTGCGGCTTTGTTTACCAGTTATTAACGAAAAACACTGACCAATGAGAGGTGACGGCGCGAAGTTCGAGATCCCGCAGCACGAGAACGTGTTATAAAAAATGCGAAGATAAAGGTTTCTACGTTACAAATCGAATTGCATGTCTACTTTCAACAAAAGGAATTAGTAAGTAGCTTGCATATTTCAATAGTGAGTAACTCAATTGCTTAGATTTTAATTAGTATAACCAGTGGTAGACTGAAATATACTGTAAAGGAGTGGAAGCGAGACCTCATAAATGGGATTGGATGGTGCCAATGGATTCCAATGGAAATTTAAAAAGACAGTGTCGATTAGCATATTTCGACCCACTTCACTACTCTGCAGCACATCCCAGACTACCACTGACAAGGAGAACTTACGATTATGGAAATTGCCTTTGAAATGAGAGTGGGTTGAAGTTACAGTACATACCTAACACATCAAAGAACTATAATAAGATTTTTCAAAATACACCTTCGTTTTTGACATATTTTAATTTAAAGTTTGTACGCAACGATTTATGTAGATAATATATATATACAGGATGTTAATTTTAAAATTTTAAATCTAAATCGAGAACAACACATTTCCAGGAAAAATGTTAAATACAAAAGTTACTTGATTTAAAAAACAAATAATCAGATTTTTAATAAATTGAAAAATTAGTTTACTTATTAAATGAAAATGAATGAATTAAAAAATATGAAAATTGCAACCTTTCACGTAGCATTTTAACAAGCACAAAACATAAACACTGCGATTTCTCATTTTCAAAATTTTTCATTTTATTAAATATCCTTGTAAAGTAAAATCTAATTAAAAAATGTTTCATACAAAAGTTTATTCTATTTTCGTACAGAATAAAAATCTGTAATTAAAAAAATATTTTTGCATTTAAAGAAACAAAATTACCCTCCAAATAACCTTCAAACCGAACAACGAAAAAAAAATAAAATAGTTGTATTACCCCCTTGAAATCGAATATTGAACATTCTTCCAAAAAATGTGCTGTTTTCGAGATATTTAGATTTAAAGTTTTTAAGTGAGTTTTGAAGTGTATACATGGTGTCCTAAAAACGTCTCGCAATACGGAAATGTGGAGTAGCTGAGGTCATTCTAAGTAACTTTTTCCTTTTCGAAAATGCAATCTGCGGCTTTGTTTACGAGTTACTAACGAAAAACACTGGCCAATGAGAGGTGACGGCGCGAAGTTTGAGACCCCGCAGCACGAGGCTTTGACAGAAGGTCGGGGCGGACTCGAGCAGCGTTCGAAGTATTGAACAAGTCGCGAAGCATGAACTTTCCGGATTTTTTTTTATTACGTAAAAGTGATATTTTTAAGAAAAACGCTGTTCACCTCTACTTTAGAACGTCTGAAGAATATTTACTAATTTTTCGGACCCGAAATAATATGTAATTTTACCGTGACAGCCCTTTTAATTTTCTAGTGTGCATGACACCTCATGTGTACCATATGAAATTTTTATGCAAGGTGTACAGTGAGGATTAACAAAGTTCGTAAATGATGTTGTAATTTAAATAATTCCGTGTCCGAACAGAATTCAACGAATGATTCGCAAAGCTGATTTAATAATAAATAATCGCGATAAGGGACGTAAAGGTTTAGTTTATTAGAGAAATATGAAAAATATTATCGATAAGAAACTCGCCCATTTAGTTGAGGATGCATTTGCTGACTCGTGCGCATTGACCTCGTACAACGTACAGCTGATTCCAGGTCGATGACCGCAACATTCGAGGGATACTGTCGGAGGAACCTCTGGTATGGTTATTTGCGAAGTTCACTTACACTGCACTGTCACCAAACACTGATCACTGAATCACTGATAATCCGAATCACTTGTGGATATCACGAAAGATCACTGAGACTCGTTCGCGGATAATCGTTTATTCTACGTGTTCGTTCGGAAGTCGACGTTTCACTGCCGAAAAATTCAGGCCTTCACTGTGGGCCCTTGTTGTTCGTCGTTCGGTCGCCCGAGGAAATGTATAATAGGTCCTTAATGGATGTGTAATTTCGAGACAATAAAACTGAATCTACGGTAAGTAATTAAACCATTTCAAAATCAAAATAACAAATATTTAATACCTTCAATTGAATAATCCATTCATATTATTTATTGCCGTGTACTTTGGATAACTCGATGTTAGAAACGCGATATGAGGAAGCAAAGGCAAGTAGATCGTTGTCCATACTAACATGTTTGCTGGGTGTTGAGGGTTACTTTTTTTTTTTTTTTTTTAAATTATTTACGTGTAAATAAAGACTCTAGATTATAATTATATTTTTAAAAAATATTGAATTTTTGATTTTATTTCTATTGCTCGCATCACTGTGCACCGCGCCGGTACTGTGAGGATTACAGTAATGTCTCTCTAATTGACGCTCAGATTGTCCACAAAAATGGACAATTTGGGAAGAGGAGATACGATTATTCGAGCCTTGCGGTTCGTTTTTATAGTTACGAATTTGTCAACAAGTATAAAAAATGAGCAGCGAGGCTCAAATAATTGTATCCCTTCTTCCCAAATTGTCCATTTTTGTGCACAATCTGGGCGTCAGTTAGGGAGAAAATACCGTATTTATTCTGTTCTGCTTGTGGCCCGTAGCTTAGGGCCCGTAACTTCGGAGGAAACATTTTAACGCACAGCCTATATCCATCTATTAACCAAAACCAATGTTATTCATTATTGACGTTAGGATAACAATATTATCACGGATCAATCGGAGATGTTCTTCCGATGAAAATAAGTCCAAACCTGGTACAAATCGGAGAATAATGCAACATAAAAACTTCATACGAATCGTTTCCGATAAGAAATTCTGTTCCCGGAATCAACTTGTAAAATTTCGAGTTCGATAAATGTGGTAAATTGTACATGTTAATAATTGCATATGATATATGTTTTCGCACAAAAGAATCATCATAGTTAAAACTGAATATTACAGGGTGCTCTTTTGAAAAATTTAGATCTAAATATTTCAAAAACAACATATTTTGCACACTAGTTGTTTACAGCTTCAAAACATGAATCATGCGATTCTTTATGTAGTATAAAAGTCAAGTGAAATAAGTGCAATTGTCATTGATTTATCAGCATTCAGTCATAAAAAAATAAAGAAGTTTTAAAAATAAACAAATTTTTTTAAATAACCTTGAAAAATAAAATCTGATTAAGAAATGTTGCAAACAACAGTTTTTTTCTCGTAGAATAAAAAGCTGTAAATAAAAATATAGGTTACTCTTTCCAAACGATCAACAACAGTAAGATACATAAAATAGTTGCATTTTCTCTTTGAAATCGTGTAACTTTCGTATTCATTATTTTCCCAAAATTGTGTTGTTCTAGAGATGAACACCCTATGTATTTTATCCATAATAAATAATACCCCAAAGTACAATACAACAATGTCTCCATCACTATTGAAAAATGATATTAGAAAAGGGAAGATACATAAAAGTAAATATTAAATATAAAATGTTATGAATTGTTATTCGGCAAAGCCTGAAAAGAATGTAAAATCTTATAAATCTTTATAAATTTATTAAGATTCTAAATACCCATCTGCAAGAAAAGGATGTATACATATGTACATATGTACCATCAAATAATTGCTTAACTATCCATAAAAATAACACTGTCCGACACGAATTTTGATTTCCTATAGCCACTATGAAATTCTTGTAGAGCTTCACTTCCCGATCAAGGATTTGAAAACCGAATTGCTCCATCACCCTCAGTTTTCGAAAAAAACGAGCTTTTGTAAAAACCCAAAATTTTCGACAAAAATGAGGTACTGTATGAAAAGTAAAAACGTTAGAAAGTTCTCTAATCAGTGTTAAAAGATAGAGGAGAGTTTCTGGAATATAGTAGCAATATATAATAGCAATAAATTAATGTCAAAGTTTAAAAAATTGACGTCGTGCGCAGTTTCTGCGCAATATTTTTGTACTTTTACGAAAAGTTGTTTGTCCTGCACAAAAACTGTACTCAGGATCGGATTCTGTAGACATTTCTGAAGAAGAAACGGCCCGGTAAAAGTGTCGGAACGATATCCATTTCGAGTAGATCGAGAAAATGTTCGACGGCAACATGTACACGACGTTTTGTCGCCATGAGCTTCGCTGCTCGCTTCTCTCCGTCCGACAGGGCCGAAGTTACGCGTAATCAACACCGATGGAGGGATCCAATGGGGCATCCACTTTTCGTAAATAATATTAGAATTTTTTTTGGTACTTCAATGTTCTGTTTTTTTTTACTTATTTCTGTGGATAATAATCACCAAACTGTGATATATTTCACGAAAAAAATCACACCAGAATATTTGCAGTGGATAACAAAAATATTCTAACACTAGTATAATTTTGACTTCTACGCCATATAATTAAATAAATATTTAAATATATATTTAACAATATGTTTCAAGAAGTTTAACGTCTTGAAATTGATTGGAAATAATTGAAACAATTTATTCATGATCGTATTATCTCTATAATTTAAATGATAACTGTATACATAATATACTTGTAATTCGAACAAATTCAGAATAAAATGAATATTTTTGTTCATTATTTTTCTTTTATTATTTCTCCATATGAAAATTAATAATCTTACTTCTATATTCCTAAAACTATGTTTTTCGTACTTTTTAATTTAGAATTCACAGTTTGGTGATTATTATCTACAGAAATATGTAAAAGAAAATAGCACATTGAAGTACTAAAAAAAATTCAAAGTAGCACGCCCCACACGCAAAGTGGGTACCCATTAGATCCCTCCATCGGTGTTGATTACGCATAGCTTCGACCCTGTCGGACAAAGAGAAGCGAGTAGCGAAGCACATGGCGGCAAAACATCGTGTACATGTTACCGATGAACATTTTCTCGACCTACTCAAAATGTACATCGTTTTAACACTTCTATCGGGCCGTTTCTTCTTCAAAAATATCTACAGAATCCGATCCTAAATAGAGTTTTCGTGCCGAACAAAGAACTTTTTGTAAAAATACAAAAATATTTCGGAGAAACTGCGCACGTCGACACTTTTTTAAACTTTTTAAACATTAATTTATAGCTATTTAGGACCAAAAACAATTAATAAATTGTATGCCACTATATTCGGCTATATATATCTTTTAACACCGATTAGAACTTTTTAACGTTTTTACTTTTCATGCAATACCTCATTTTTATTGAAAATTTTAGGTTTTTACAAAAGTTCGTTTTTTTCCAAAAACTGAGGGTGGTGGAGCAATTAGGTTTTCGGATTCTTGTTCGGGGAGTAAAGCACTACAAGAATTTCATAGTGGTTATAGGAAATCGCAAAAAAGTTTGTTTTTGTCCGACAGTGTAATTACACTTTATATCGAATTTCTGTAATACATATTTTATAAATACGATTTTCACCATTTAAATGTTTGTGTCATATATGCCCAATGCCTCCAAATAATATTCGGTACTCGTAGTAGAAAT